CACAATACCATTATCACACCTAGAAAATGAATAATTCCACAGTTTTCCTTAATATATAGTCTAGATTGAAATTTTTCCAGTTGCTGAAAAATGTGTTCCGTCGCTTTATCTTTTTATTTCTTTCAATCCAGGATCCAATCGAGAGTCACGTGTTGCGTGTAGTTGTGAGGTTGGTTTTGGTCTTTGTTAATCTAGGTACTCCTCCTGCCGTTTTTTTTGGTCTTCATGACACTGATTGATCTGAAGAGTCCAGGCCAGCGGTCTTGTCGAATGCCCCGCATTCTAGGTTTGTCTGATTGTATCCTCAAATGTTTCTGGCAAGAACATTTCGTGTGTGATGCTGTATACTTCTTATAGAATCATGTCAGGATGCAAAAAGTGTCTGGTTGTTCCAGTCGTGGGTGGTAAGTCCAATCGCTTGGTTTACGTGGGAGATTGCCATATCTCTTCGTTGTAAAGATCCGTTTTCCACTTCGTAGTTAGTGGGTAGTGTGTGTGTGGGGGGGTGATTTTTAGCATCCTATGAATACCCCATTCCCATCAACCTTTAGCCCAGGGGGTTTGGCATCTATTGATGATATCTTTGTCTAAATAAATTATTACACTGAAAGCTGCGAAATGGTGATCTTTCTTATTTTATTTTCTTTCTGCATGTATTAGCTGGATTCTTCTGAAAAGAAGAGCTGTCTGTTTTTCTTTCGACATACAGATTTCCTTTTGGTTCAAACACGAAGATGAGATCATAAGGCATTTCCCAAGATTTCTTCAGGTCCTCAGATCTCGCTCGGCTACCGGAGCGATTTAGGATGGTAGTCTTGCAGATAGGAAGCAGGAGGGAGGGGGTGGGGGTTCTGCATTGACAATAGCCACTGGTTCTGCCCGTTTCACAGGAGAGACCGTGTGAGAAGGCGATAGCACTCGTTTGCTTGCGTGGTCCAAGACAATGCCGGCAGTGGTCATCAGCGATGGTGCCGCTGCTTTTTCCACATGATAGAAGGTGGTAGTAACTGTTTAATTTTGTATTTTTCTGTAGCTACTGTGCTGCCTTCCGGATCTTAAATCATTGATGATTTGTCCATCTTCCCTCCACGTGCCAGGTTACTGGCAGGCAGGCTCTTCTAAAGTCCAGATTTAGGACAGTGCATACCTGTCTTCTCTTAGCCTCACAGGCTGCCCAGAGCCCGGTCTCAGGAAAAACATCCTCCTTTCCCCAGCTCCGCAGCGAAGCGGTGTCTCGCCGGCTGTTGTTCAAACACCGGCTACACTTTTTCCACCTCAGGAAGGGCCGTTATGTGTCTAGGGGTCGTTTCTTTCAGCCACCCTTGCGGTTCCAATAGTCAGTCAGCCAGTGACTTAGCCAGTACCCACTTTGTATCCCAGAGCTGAGCTCGATGCTATGAAGAGTACACAAACATAGGACCTGGTCCCTATTTTCAAGTTTATCTGGTTGGAGAGACGATGATATCATAGAAACATGGAGCTGAAAGATAGTCTGGTTTTCTGGGAGTGTCCACGAGCGAGTTTTGGGGAATTGGTACGAGAAACTCCAAGGGCTGGAGTTTGAGTATCTGCATCGTACCGCGGCAGATGTGCACGGGGTTTATGAGATTCTCGAAAAGGGCTGTGACTCCCTCCGTCCAGTACGAAAAGCTCGCCCTGACTGAGAGACAGGTTGGTGGACCGGCTACACAGGAGCGATTTCTCTTTGCCGATAGTTCTCACGTTTTGATGGCAGTTTATCGCACATCAGCTTCCGAAGAGAAAGACCTATGACTGCAGCGTCCGTCAATTCTCTGTTGCCACTTCGGAGCCATCTGGCGAAGCTATGAATTCAAGTAGGCGCATTGTGACCGTCATAGGCAATTCAAATCTTTCACCCGAGAGAAAACGACCCGGCGCTGCCCCAGCTGTCTGAAGTTTGGTTCAGAGCCGGACGGTCCGTTAGGACGTCAGCATCCCCTGGTGCATGTCGACAGCATCCTCTTACTTCGGGTGAGCTGTGGTGAGCTTGCAAAGCCCTTTCGTGTCCTGTGACCCATTTAATCTGGTGAGGTGAGCAGGGCAAGGAGTAGTGGCTTCGCACTGTCAAAAGACTGAGTCTCTGCAGGGTTAGGTGCCTGGCCATGGTCAAGGTTACAGGCGCCGCTGGGTGTCAAGCCCACTTTTTCTGGCCCCCGCTTTCTCCAGCATATCTTGCTCCCTTAATCAGGGTAGTGTTCGAGGGTGAGCTCCTAGGCAGGTATTTCAGCCGGAGTTTTCAGCTGTACACTGCTGAGGAGAACCTGTCCCTTTGTCGGGTCTCCCTGGACGTTGACCCATATGCTGGTTTCAGACATTCTTCGGACTTCGGCTCGGACCGCGAGACTTCCCTGACTCTGCAAAGCCCTCCCACTTCGCTGCACGGGCAGTTCAAGGGCAAAGCCATGAACGGCAATTTCTAGGCCCGGTTGTCATCTCAAAGTGGACCTCGAGATCCAGATTCTTGGTTTTCTAGATCAGCGCTGTCCATAAGCATATAATATGAGCCACATATGTAATTTTTAATTTCTTAACAGTACATTAAAAAGCAAAAAGAAAGGCAAGTGAAATTAATTTTAATAATCTATTTTATTTAACCCACTACATACAAAGTTTTATTTCAACACAGGATCCGTATAAAAATGACTGAATGAGGCATTTTGCTTTTACTGACCTAATAGCTTCTAGAACCTGATGCCAGTTGCCAACTGTTGAATGGAACCATTTGTATACACACAGGTGGAGGAAACAGTCTATGATGAGTGGGCTATGAGACTTGCGTGCTCGAAAAACATGTCCACCTAGCCTGCCATATGTGCGGCACACCTCCTATTAAAACGCTTCTTTTAAACAAATGGTTCCCCCCGCCCCCGTCCCCCATGTTTACTAGGATATGCAGACAGAGGACTCAGGCTTGCTGGACGGGGGAGGTAGAGAATATGGTCATGCATAAAGCACAGTCCCCACCCTCAGTGAGGACAGGCGGGGCGGGGAGAATGTGTGCTGTGGAAGGGGGACAGTGGATAAAGCAGCTAAGGGTCAAGTGTCCCTTGAGTGGTGAGGGGGGACATCACCCCGCTCACCAGGTCGTCTTCAGAAAACCCACTCGCAAATCCCCTCGCGTTTCTGAGGTAAGCCCCTGAAATACTTACTCTTTCCTATTTACCAGATATACTGTTGTTGAATTTGTTTGACGGGTAGAGCCCCCAACCCTTTAGAAATGGTTTGTTTTCATGGGGGAAAAGAAGAGAGGCGACTGAGGGAAAGGTGTGGACCCTGTTGCGACAAGATGGGGTTTCTTGATGATGGAGGGTGGCAGCTTGAGGCATCAGGCGGGAGTGCCCAGTAACCGGGGGACAGTGCTGAAAGAGAGGACGGGACGGGCGAACACAAAGGACAGGAACTCTGTCTTCCACGGAGCTTTGCCCGTCCCCGGACTGGCATTTAATGCTTATTCGGGCAGATACGTACCATGCAGATGTGTCACTTGGGGAGGCTGCGGAGGGTAGCAGGTAAGGTCTGGGGTTTGGGAGTAAGACTGCCTGTGCAACTTGGGGGAAGTGACTTAACCTCTCTGTGCCTCAATTTTCCCATAAATTAAAAAAAAAGAGTTATTAGTAAGTTTTGATGAGATAAGGTACATAAAGAGCTCAGAATATTGTCTGGCACAAGGCATGTCCCCAATAAATGTAAGTTATTATTGTCAGCATTATCATGTTCGTAATAGTTATTAGCTGTGGTGCTCCCTTAATTGATTCCAGAAGTTTTACAGGGCTGTTGACGCCATGTCAAGCAATCCTGAAAGTGGAAAGGAGTCACATTCAAGTGTTTTTCTCCCATGATGGCAAAACTGGGACAAAGAGATGACAATGACTTGCCCAAGGGCTCAGAGGCTGCTTCTAAAACGGGGAGGCTGCTTAAGGCAATGGTGATGGATTTCCCCAAAGACAGAGACTTGCAAGCTGGGACTGGAAACCAGGCCGCACTCCTTAATTCACGGTATCATCCTGGGAAATCGGGTAATTTCTGAGCCCTCGGGTGTGCACCTATCACACAGGGGTAAAAAATAGGCCTAGAGTTGTTAAAACTCAGTAACACGACGCATGACAGGTGCATGCGGTCTGGGCTCAGTAAAAATCAATCTCTTCAATTATTACTGCTACCGTTGTTGAGGCAGACAGTGGCCGTCTGGGGTGCCGAGATGCCTGTTGGCTCACCATCGTGCCCCAGCGCCCAGCGCCCAGCAGACACTCGGGAAATGTTTGCGGAGCGAAGGCACATCATCTAAGGAAGGGAGCTCAGCTCTGCGCTCCTTCCAGAAGCCGAGCCCGAGGCAGCCCGTCGCCGGGAGCGCAGGCACTTCTCGGCAGTGGGCTGAACCCCACCTGGTGCCCGACGCCCCTGCGCGGGCTGCGCGAGGGCGCCCCGCCGGGGCGCGCACGCCGTGCGGACGGCTCTCTACCGAGCCCTGTTTTTCTGGTTTGCGGTTTATTTACTTAAGCATTTACAGCTCCCGGGAGCAGAGGGGCTGCCTGAAGCAGGGTCAGGACCGAGGTCGCGGTCTGTGTTTACACTCTGCCTCCTCATCTCAGCGCTGACAAGTCACAATACGGCTGCTCCGGTTGCGCGCGGGAGCGGGGGGTTCGCGCTGTCCACCCGCTGCCAGGCGAGGAGGGCACGCGCGGTCCGGGCCAGGGACGTGCTCCCGAGCCTGGGGCCCCGCTTGCGTGGACCGCGCTCCCCCGACTTAGTTTTCTGTGCAAACCCGAGCAGATTAAATAAAGACAACCTCGCACTTCTAATCCTTGACCGCAAACACTGCCGTTTCGGTTCCCCGAATTTCTGAAATTCTTGGCTCGGGACTCCAGGCGGGGAGGAGGAGGGTGCCAGCCTGTAAAAACTTCCAAAGCAGAAATCCGAGCCGCTCCCGCCCCCGGCTCCCAGCGACACCTGGACTCAGGGGAAGGGGAGCAGCTGGAGGAGGAGGGGCGTCCCCAAGGGTAGGGGCGCCCCCCAGGGGTGGCTCTGGGTGGTGGGTCCCAAGCCCGGCCAGCTCAGGACTAGCAGCTGAGTTCAGAGCCGGGACGCCCCCCCTCCGCCCCCGCCCGTGTCTATTTAGAGCCCGGCCCCGAGCCCAAGGGATTCTGGGACATGTAGTCCGCCCCGCCGCCCCGGGCGCCGCCGCGACCCCGGCCGCGGACTACATTGCCCAGGGAGCCACGCGGCCTATATAAGGCACCAGGAGCCGCGTCCAAGTGCAGTAACCATGTGGCTGTGCTGCTGAGGCGCGTCCTCGGGCTCGCGGGGCGGGAGGCGAGGAGGAGGTGGTGCCGGAGGAGGAGGCGGAGGGCGGAGAGCGAAGCCACGCCGAGAGGTGGTGTGGGCGCTCCGCTCCCAGCCTAACGGAACGAGCTCCCACTTCGCGAGCATGGGACGACACAGCGGCCGCTGAGCCCCCTCCGCGCCCTGCTCCCGCATACCGGCGCGGCTCCCCGGGCACCAAGGTAGCGGCTGCGGCCGGGCGGAGGGCGCGGGGAGTTGGTGCTGTCCCCCCCGCCCCCCGAAGCATAAGTTTTTGCCCCGCTCTCTGGGAGTTCTCGGTGGATTTGCAAGCACTTGCATGCATTGGGGGTTCTTTTACTGAGAACATTTTTTTTTTGTGGGGGGGGGGAGGATTCGTTTGAGGTGGAAAAAAAAGAAAACATTCTCGACTCCAGTGACTGGCTTTGAGGGCTCTCCGTGCTGGACCGGAATGGCATTCCCCCAAGTTGGAAACTGTTGCAGCAGCTGCAGGAAATAGGTTTTTTTTGGGGGGGAGGGTTGTGGTTGTGGGGGTGTCACATGTGAGTCCGCCCAAGGAAACCGTCTTTCTTAAAATGTAGCCCTCCCTCGAGTCGCACGGTTGGGAGGATAATGCATGTGCCGGGCCCCGGCGGGGAGGGCTCTCAAAACCCGAAGGACACCGGGGCGCGCCGAGGGTGGACGGAGCTGGCGCCCGGGGAGGATGCGGGCTTGCGACGCTCGTCCTCCGCTGCGGGAAGCAAGTGCTTTGGGATCCGCCAGGCACTTCCCTTAGCTCCAGCCCCGGGCGCGTTCCAGGCTGGCGTGTGCCCAGCCTCACTTGTCGGTTACTTGGTGGAAGTAAGTACGCGAAGTTACCTGTGGTCCGCCCACGTGATCCCACCGACGTGCCTGTCAACTGGAGTTGGGGGGCGGGGGTGCTCACCAGGAAGGAGGTTAAAGAAGGTGGAACCGTGAAATCTGGAGCATAGTTGGTCTCACACGCAGTCTCCTTTCTGAATCCTTAGGAGCCGACTACAGAGGAGCAGGATTCGCACCGCTGGCTGGGCGGACTCTGGCGCCAGAGAGCCTGGCGAGGGTCAGGTGAGTGTGGGAGCCTGCGCGCTGCCCTCAGTCATGAGTTTTTTCCTTAAGCCTGTTTTAAGTCTTTTCTGACGGGCCATGGAGATGGGGAGTAGGAAACCCCATGGCTGAGTCCCCAGATCTTAACTGCCTTCCGTGAGCAGGGGCTAGTCCTGCTCAGCTTTTTTTTTGGCTGAGGCTCGGGCCGGAAACAGCTCGAAGGTTTAGGAGAGGAGGGGGGAAAGCCATTAAATTAAGCAATGAAAGGGGTGCCCACTGGCCGACTGAGAATTGAACTTGCCAGGAAGCACGCTGATGACTTAAATTGTGAAGGATGCAGTGCATTTCATCTGCCAAGATATGTAAGCAGAAATCAACCGCTTTCCTCGTTCAAAAATAGTCACTTTCTTTCTTCTTCCTGTGAACGTGTGTTTAATCAGAGTGGGATGGGCTGCAAGAAATGAAAGTGGTTGCTGGCGAATTGAGAGAATTAGAACTTTAAAAAGGGAAGTTAGTTCTCAAAGCATAAGATGGTAGCATCCAGCCGTTGGCCTGAAGCCATCTCAATGTCAAGCAATGTGATGGGTCCCTGTTGCTTAGGTGCCTGTCGTGGGGTGTGAGCCAAGGGCAGCATGTGTCTGTAAACACAAACAGCTCCCATTTTTTTTTCCCCAAAATGGTCAGACTGCGCTTCAAGCAAGGGAGGCTTCAATGAGTGCACGTACATTCCCATTGCTGCCTGTTTGGCATCAAGTTTTTTCTTCCGAAATGGTCAAGAACAGGGGAAACAACAGGGTAACAGGGGAGCCGGGTCTTAGTAACCTCTACAACATCCTAAATATTTAGCTGTTCCCTGGGCGACAATCTTTAGGCTTTTCTAATTAGAGAAGAAAAGCCAGACACTTCGTTATAGTGGTCTAGTGCTTTTGTTTCTTGCTGATAAGATCCTCAGGAGTGTGGGTGGGTTGGGAAGCATTTGGATGTGTGAGGTCTAGTTCCTTGTTGGCGTTCTAGTGACTCGCATCGCTACGTGGGCACTCAAAAGGCCACGGATTGGGCTCCTTCCCCCTTTTCTGAGTAAGCTGTAGGCCAGGAGAAACTGATCCACAGGCTCTTCTCTGACTGGTTGCTCAAAATAAAACTTAGACATTAAGTACTTGTAAACCTGGTCCAGAGCCATATGTCACAGATACCCTGGGAGTCAGGTACAGGGGTAGAGGCCGAGATGCAGAGTGAAATCACTTGCCCACAACCTGGCACAGAGTGGAAGCCAGGTGTAACTACAGGCCGTGGGGCTTCTTTCTGCCCCAAAATGCACCTGAGTTGGGGGTGGTGGTGAGGGAGAAGCTAGGAAAAATGATCAGCTTATTGCTGTTGATGAAATAACTCTTACTTATGTCCCAGCGATGAGGAATGACCAACACTTACCTTGATGTGGGCAGGAAACTGTGCAGCTGCGGGTGTGAGGATGGCAGAGTGTGGATATTTGAGGAGGCGTTAGGTGTGATTCTGAGTTTGTTTTGGAAAGTTGTGTGCCGAAAGTCTGAGGGTAAAAAAAAAAAAAAACGTAAGAAATGTTGTCTGAGGCCAGTCTCAGGTTCGTCTCACACCTGAAATCCATCCTGATCGTCTGCATCAAGGCATCTGGGCAGGTTAAAGGAATCAGGCAGCCCCCATCTGAATAATTTGAAAGTTTAGGTCACACTGCGTCTGATTTGTTGAAATCTTTTCATGTACCTTTCAGTTTGCTTTGTGGCCTGTTGCGCAGAGCTCTTTCTCATTTCTTGTGTGTGTGTGTGTGTGTGTGTGTGTGTGTGTGTATGTGTGTGTGTCTGTGTGTGTGTGTAAAGTACAACCTGCTCTTTGAATAATCGAAATCAGAACAGAAGGTCCTATCAAGAGTCGCTTCTTATCAGGCGGGGGAAGTTTGGCGCGCTCTAACTGCATCAGCAACACCTGGCCTCCACTTCGAGCCCCACGGAGGCGAATGGGGTCGCGTGTTATCCAGATCAACAAAGCGGTGTCCTCTGGAGGGCATTGGCGTCTTCTGTAGGAACAAGACATGGAATGGTTGCTTAGAGAAGTAGATGAACTCAACGAGACACATCTGTTGCCTTTTTCCTCAAAAGTTTTCATCCGAGGAATAGGGAAGACCAGGGTATTAAAGTGTGTGTGTGATAGGGGAAACTTCTAATCCAACGGTATTTCTCTGACTTCCAGAGAAAAAACATCACATGGCCTTTTTGCTCACTTATAAATGATCTCATGGAAACTCTGTCTGATTGTAAAAGCAGCTCTTAAAAAACAAACCAAAGTGAAACAACAAACACCAAATATGAACAGAAAAAAACAGCAAAAACAAAAGTGGGCCTGGAGTTGGGTTTCTAGGACCCATCTAATCAAGGCGTCTGCACAAGGCCAGCGTCCCATCTTGTTCGCTGTCGTTTGATCTTATAAAATAAAACACATTGCCTCCGCAGGCTCTGTGTTCACTGGAAACGCATGCAATTTTTTAGTACACTTTTGCCCTTTTAAGTTTTTGCATGGCTCTTTTGGTGAAATTAATTATGTTGAAGTCGGTGACGTGACTGACATAATTTTTATGACTTCTACCAGTCGTCATAGTGTCTGTTCTGAGGTTATTGCTAATGAGGATGAGCCGAAAAGACACTGAAAACATCATGTATCGAGCTGCATCTCATTGAACTGTGTCTGGGTTCTTCCCTAAACTGGACGTAGTTGAAGACATTCGTTGTGATAAATCTATTCAAGACATTGTGGTCACCTCTGAAAGTTTTACGGTTCAAGTCTTTATTATTCCTTCACTGAGCATCTTCTTTGTGCCAGGGTGTAGTCTAGCTCCCGGGGGCACAGCGACGAAAGCCTTGTGCCCAAGAGGCTTAACTCCTTGTTGGGGGTTGGGGGGAGGCAGCCAGTGTAAATAAACAAGTATACGGTAGGACAGGTGGTCAGTGTGATGGAGAGAAATAACACGGCGGAAGGGGGAACGGAAGATAAGTGTGGGTGAGGATGTGGAGAGGTCGGAGCCCTCGTGCGCCGTTGGTGGGAATGTAGAATGGTGCAGCGGCTGTGGAAGACAGTATGGCGGCGCCTCAAAAAGTCACGTGTGAAATGACCAGGTGCAGTTCCGCCTCTGGGTGTATGTCCGTAAGTATCGAAAGCGGGGGCTGGAACGGATATTTGCGCTCATGCTCCCAGCAGCATCATTCCAGTAGTCAAAAGGTGTAAACAACCCCAGTGTCCACCGACAGGTGACGGATAAACAAAATGTGGTCCCTCCGGACAATGGGATGGTATTCGGCCTTAAAAATAAGGAAATACCGATACATGCTACAACATGGATGAAGCTTGACAACATCATGCCAAGTGGAAGAAGCCAGAAAAGACAAAAGGACAAGCAGAGTGTGATTCCACTTACGTGAGGTCCCTAGAGCTATCAAACCCATAGACATGGTAGAATAGTGTTGTCGGCGTGTGTGTGTGTGTTGGGGGGGGGATGGGAGTTTAAGGGGTACAAGGTTTCATTTTGAAAAGATGAAAAAGTTCTGGAAATGGATGGTGGTGAAGGTTGTACAACACTGAATGTACTTGATGCCACTGAATTGTACACTTAAAAAAATATAAAGTGGTAAATTTTATGTATGTTTATTTTGCCACCGAAAAGAGAAAAACAATGACAAGAAAACAGGGTGCGGGGGCTAAAGGACCACCCAGGTGCGGGGGGACTGGGAAGGGCTCATTAACCTGCTGCCTTTGAGCAGAGACCTGAGGGGAGTGAGCGGGTTGACCATGCGGTCTCTGGGGGGGGAGAGTGTCCCAGGGGATCAGGTTGGCAAGTGCAAAGGCCCCGAGGTGGGAGCAGGGAGAGCCGCTGGGGTGGGAGCAGCAGGCCAGGGTGGCTGCAGCTGAGGGAGGGTGCTAGGCATTCAGGTGGGAGAGGAGGTCGAGGTCGGATTGTGCAGGTGTTTGCAGGTAAGCAATGATGTATTTCCCTGAGGATTGCTAAGCTTGCAGGATGCTCAGTGTGGTTCTCACCATCAGTGACCTGTGTCATCCTTTCTGAAGAGACTGGTGGGGACGTCAGGATCCCCTACCAGATTGGGAGGTGAAGCCCAGTTTCCAGACTCTGCGGTTAAACGCATGAGCTACCTGGGACTGTCATTCCCTTCAGTTAGACAGGAATCCTCTGATGAACAGGCAAACCTGTGGTTGGCTGAACAAAAAATTCCAAGAACTTACTGGTATTCCTCTGGGTTAATCTTCATCGCAAACCTGGTCCTTGCAGTCTGTCCGGTCTTATTTCAAGGAGCTACACGAGGAGGCCTCCAGCTCGCATTACCCTTGGGGAGTATGAAGTTCAAGATAAATGATTCCGATAGCTGAAGTGGACCCCTCTGTGTGTACAAACTTATAACAAGCCTGTGTTATAGTCGTTACTTACTGCATAAGATGTGCATAGTCAGCCACAGTAAAACATCAGCAAATAAAGATAAGCAACAAAATAAAACCAATCACCCCCAATCCCACCTTCCAAGATTAGGGTTTAAACGGCCCCCACCATGAAAATTATGTGTATATTTCCTGAAAGGCTTCGCACAGCACCTCCTGCTCGGCACCTTGCCTTCGCACTCTGTCTTGAATACCTTTTCTTGCTAAACAGACATCTGTGTCTTCATTTTCCTGAAGGTGGCTGTACTTTTGATGGGATTTCATTTGAGTGATGACATTTATGGAATTACGGTAAAAAAAGTATTATTCAGGCTCCATAAAGTACCATCACAGAGGCCAGTTTTTCCTATTCATTTTATACTGTTTTTTTTTTTTTTCAGGATAACTAAATGGAAGATAAAGCACTATTCAGTTGTTGGTTATCTTAGGACAGGAGTAAAGCCTAGTAATTATTCATTTAAATACACCATTTCTCATTTCTTCTTCAAAGTGACCTAACCCTGTGAGGGCCCAGGGCCAGACACTCTCTTCTGTTTGTTTGCACTTACACG